AAATCACAACCCCATCCCCCTAAACCTCTTAGCCAAACCATCATCATTTCTCCCACATCCAATACTTACACACTCATACACATTAAACACACGCTTACCCGTACACAGTGGTCTGCAAAAGAAACTGGAAAATATAATTAACCAATCATCGTATTAAAGCCTTGCACTACTCATTCATGTTGCTTACAGATTAAAGCAATATAGATTCTGTATCTTTTGGCAAATTTAGATTTCATATCCGATACGAATCGTCCGATATACGGTCACTCAAAATTGACCTGGGAAAAAAATGAGACTTGGCAAAACTGTGCGACATCAAAGAAACGCAACAGTGTGTTTGCCCTTGCTTTGGGGTCCATCAATATTGGTGGGGTGGACTTACATTGCGAATCAAATGAAAGGAGAATTCTTTAAATGAGAATTTAGTATCTGCCATAAACACTATTAGATGTATTATATGTTTTTATTATGATAGTTTCAAACTGATCCGAAAAGAGCAGTCACAAAAAATGCTATGCAAAGCTTGGACTTAACGTTAGATGTGCAAGGTATTGTTGAGGAGCCATTGGTTTTGTACAGAGCACGAACCCTTTGAATCATATTATGTCATTCCATCACAAATATCACACAGTTGCAAAAAAGCTTCTGAACTGGGAACAAAGTCGTGTGTCTTCAGCTTCTGTTTCATAGGGTTCCACATACTTATAGGATTCATAAAATCGGGTCTACCAACTGATAACCGCTCCATCTCTTGTATGATTCGGTTTTCCAAAAAATCTCCAGTGGTGTTGGCCCTCTGAGAAGGTGCTTTGTTATGCATGAAGATGTCTTCTTGAATGATACCATGACGAAAATAAGGGTAAGGCATGACGTTCTAGCACCACTAAAAGAAAGCCTTCCGTTGATGTACACGAGTGCGATTTTGTTCTTTCTAGCCCCATTTAGTCGCCTTTTTTCCTCACCCACAGATGACATGTCCAAAATCTAACTAACGTATTATTCCATACGCAAAAGGGTTCGTTCTCTACCCAAAAACCGATGATTCTTAAACAAAATACAAATTAGCACATTATATTAAGATCAAATTCATCGCGGTTAAATTCCATTCATTTGATAATTAAACCAATGATAATAATAATAATAATAATAATAATAATAATAATAAT